TTCCTAATGTTTGCAATGTGGAGATGATGGCTGGAATTCCACTGGCCATGACCTTGGGGACAGAAGCCACACACTGAGGACGAGGAGAGAGGACTCAGGCCACAGGGATATTACAGAGAAGTCAGATATTGCATCCCTGCAGGGTCTACCCCCCAGGCTTCCTCTACATGAATGAAAAACTTGATTTGTGCACTGATGCTTTCGGCTTTGGATAATTGGCCCTCAGATACAACACTGAACTAATCCAGAAACTAGAAGATAAAATAGGGAAGTCTCTAGAAAAAGAGACTGAGCAAAAAACTGGAAAATATAGTAATGACAGTTGAGGGGCTTGCCTTCCAAGAATGAGAGGCTCCAGAACCCACACGCAAAAGCCAGGCTCAACGCCATACTTGTCATCCCAGCTCTAGGAAGAGAGACAGGTGGATCCCTGGGACTCTTGGGCCTAATCAGTAATCTTCAGGCCAACAAGAGACACACAACACACAAATACGTTGATGACTCACACCAGTAATCCTGGCTCCTGGGAGGCTGAGACAGGAGGATCACTATGAGTTTGAGGACACCCTGAGCTATATAATGAGTCCCAGGCTAGCCTAGACTATACAGTGAGATTCAGTTTCAACTCCCCTGACACCCCCCCCCAAAAAGCGAAAACAGAAAGAATAAGCCAGGGAGTAGGGCAGCAATGGAGACTCAGGAAAATCAGAGTGAACGAAATGGTCAAAGAAATATGATTAAAGATAGCTACCCAAATACAGAGCCAAAGATGGGAAGTAAGACAAAACATAACCCAAAGATCATCAATGAGGAATGGAAGAACACAGAGACTGAGGAGGTATGAAACCAGAGAATAAAAAAGCAGGTCATGGGCTGGAGAGATGGCTCAGTGGTTAATAGCACTGACTGCTCTTTCAGAGGTCCTGAGTTTAATTCCCAGCAACCACATGGTGGCACACAACCACCTGTAATGAGATCTGGTGCCTCTTCTGGCCTATAGACAGAACAAATCTTTAAAAAAAAAAAAGCAGGTCATATAATTTCCTGTGTAGATATAGGGAAGCAGAAAGGCATCAGACGCACACATCAGAAGACAGTAGAGCAATGTATTTACAAATGACTGTCGTACTTTAGGTGTGGTAGTGGACATTTGCAATTCCAGAACCCGGGAAGATGAGAAGAGGTCTTGAGTTCTAGATCAGCTTGAATATATACCAATACCCAGTCTCTGTGTGTGTGTGTGTATGTTTGTGTTTGTGTGTATGTGCGTGCACGCACACGCGCTCATGTACTTGCACAGAGCATGTAGTTCAGCCATAAAGTACTTCTCTAATGTGAAAAACCCATGCATTCAATACCTAGCACCAAGCAAAAAATAGAGAAAATAGTTTTTGATCTAGATTTTCTATCATGTATAAGCGCGCGCGTGCGCACGCACACACACACACACACACACACACACACACACACACTTCAAACAGGTCATGCTGGTCAGTTTTGTGTCAACTTGACACAAGCTAGCGTCACTGGGGAATAGGGACCTCAATTGAGAAAATTACTCCATAAGATTGGACTGTGGACAGTCTGTAGTGCATTTTGTTGACTGATGTGGGAGAGCCCAGGCCACTGTGGGTAGCACCGTCCCTGGGTTGGTGGTCTTAAATGCTGTAAGAAGGCAGGCTGAGCAAACCAGTACAGCCCTCCTCCACGGCCTCTGTGGCAGTTCCTGCCCTTGACTTCCTGAGATGAAGGACTGTAAGCTGTAAGATGAAATAAACTCTTTCTTCCCCAGATGGCTTTTGGTCATGGTGTTTATAACAGTAAGAGAACCCTAAGACTTAGATCTTATGCGGCTTTTTCTTGGATCTTTCTACAGCATGTGTTCCAATCAAATGAGTTGGCCAATATGGGAACTACAAGATCCCGGAGACTACCGGAGACTACATATTGATATTATACAGGAGAGGCTCAGTCTGACCACTATGTAACTAACAGTTCACTCAGGAGCAGGGAATGGAGGCGACCAGGAAAAAGGTGTCCAAATGGAAGGAGGTACTAATAAAATAACAGCTAGGAGACCTCGGGGGAAAAAAATGTCTTCCCAGTTTTATATGCTGGTTCTCATGGAGCAATCTGTAAAAATATTAAGAATTACTTTACCTAAAAATATTCAATTTACATATAAAAATCCACTTACATATAGGAAAAAGAAAGGGCACATAATAAAGGAAATGTCTTCGGGTCTTTGGCGATCAATCTGCATTGTTAAACAAAATGCAAATACTACTCATGGCTTTTGGTAAAGCATATGACTCTCTCCATGTGAGTAGACTGAGGTTTGGAATGATGTAATGCGGCTGATTTTTCTATAATGCCTTAGTTAGGACTTCAAGATACAGCAACCTGAATGTTTACGAACCCAGGATATAAAACCTAAAAGAAGCCTGGGGGTTAGAAAGATGACTCAGCAGTTAAGAGCACCGCTGCTCTTCCAGAGGTCCTGAGTTCAATTCCCCACAACCACATAGTGGCTCACAATTATCTATAATGACATCCAGTGCCCTCCTCTGTCATGCAGGTGTTTATGCAAATAGAGCACTCATTTACACAAAATACATGAATAAATAAATAATCTTAAAAATAAATAAAAGAAAAGTATAATTTACCACTCTGGGACTTAGGAAGGCATTAATACAAAAATCCAATGTTTTTCATTATTAAAGATTCTTGGGGCTGGAGAGATAGCTCAGAGTTTAAGAACATTGGCTGCTCTTCCAGAGACCCTGGTTCAATTCCCAGCACCCACACAGCAGCTCACACTTGTCTGTAACTCCAGTTCCATGGGATCCAACACCCACACACAGACATGCATTTAGGCAAAGCACATTAAAATATAAAAAGGAAACATTCAAAAAAATCTTTTAAAGACTCTTGGAATTAAAACCATCCTGAGTGAGGTAGCCCAGACCCAGAAAGACAAATATGGTATGTAATCACTCATAAGTAGATGTTAGGCATAAAGCAAAAGAATTAATAATATAACTATGAACATACTTATTAAGATCAATGGTGCACGTCTTTAATCCCAGCACTCGGGAGGCAGAGGCAGGTGGATCTTGTGAGTTCGAGACCAGCCTGGTCTACAAGAGCTAGTTCCAGGACAGCCTCCAAAGCCACAGAGAAACCCTGTCTCTAAAAACCAAACCAAGCAAAACAAAACAATGGAATGCTACGTAGCTCAGCGGTAGAGTATGTGCTTACAAGTCCCTGTATTGATCACCAACACCACCCCAAAAGACATTTCCTATTTTCCATCCCATATGAATTAAGCCCTAGAATTTAATTTAAAGATCATCTAGGATCCAACTCAATTTAACTGGTTTTTGTTGTTGTTGTTTTAGGGTTTTTTGGTTAGTTTTTGGAGACAGGGTTTTTCCTCTGGCTGTCCTGGAACCTACTTTGTAGATCAAGCTGGCCTCAAACTCACAGAGTTCCGGCTGTTTCTGCCTCTTGAGTGCTGGGATTAAAGGCATGTACTACCACCACCTGGCTACTGCTATGCTGTTATTCCATCTCACACACCTTTCTCCAAACTTCTCTGCTCCCCCTGCCTTTCCCACTCACACACGGCCTGGGAAGAAACGGCCTTTCTCCTCTCCGCCTAGCAGATACCGCCTGCCCGGAATGCAGGTCCAGGGGCCATCCTGATTGGAGAACAGCTAGCTTTGCAATCGTAGGACAAAATGTACACATCACCAAGGTAAGGCCCGAGGTCCCTAACGCAGCAGCACTTGGATCTTCTGCACAGAGCCAGGAGCTGGCTTAGCGGTAGGGAGAGTTGGGCTGGGCTGGGCATTCCTAGGCAGGGCCCAAAAGTCAACTGGAATACTGTATAAATGTTTACTGTCAGCATGTTCTTTCCAGAACAAGAAACTTCCAGATTAGCAAAAGGCTTGGGAGCAAATTAGGCTGAGACAATCTGGGGTGGAGGAAGAAAGAGGGGTTCTGTAGGGCTGGGGTGCAGCTTGATGGTAGAATACTTGTCTACCAAGGCTGAGGTCCTCGAGCTGCAACTCCACTGCTACAAAAAAAAAAAAAAAAAAAAAAAAAAAAAGCCAAGCAGCTAAATAGAGAGCATTCCAGCACTGCAAACTAAATAAATGGAAGAAAAGGACCTAGGTGGGCCTCTGGGGTTAGCAGAAGCCAGAGGAAGCAGGAATGGAAAAGGTTTCATGTCTGAAAGTTCGGTGAGGTGCCTGAAGGACTTTCCACCCTTAGTGGCTATTGGCCTGGTCTCCCCTATGTCCCTTCGGAGGTTCTAGGCCCTGGAAGGAAGCTGTGTGGGCAGTTCTGTGTCTCCTTACGGACTGGCTCTAGACACCCAACATTCACCAGGGATGAGGAGGGCAGCAGAGGTCAAGTCTGTGGACAGGACTGTTGGAGACAGGCATGGGTATTTCCTTTTGGGCAGCCTGGGTTACAGCAGGTGACAGCCTTAGCTACGCTCCTCTTTTCAAAACTCTGCACAGCCCAATAAAATTCGCAGACGGAGAATCAGATGGGGACCAGCACCAGGCCCAGAACCAACAGCTCCATGCGGACTTCCCTCCCACACACACACAACCACCTCTTTAAGGCTCCAGTTCCTGACCAGGGCCCTGCCACAGCCACCATCAGAAGAGAGCCTCTTGAGCGAGGGTGGGATTTAGGAAGGCTCTACCTTAGCACGCTGGAGGCAATGCTATCCCCAGCACAGTAAGAAGCAGAAAGAAGAAAGGAGGGCAGACAGAGGGACGAAGAAGTAAAGGCAATGAAACAAAGGCCTTCTGTCATCTGCCGCATCCCTAGGGTCTCACTGTCACATTACGTTCTGTCACTGGGCTCCCACCAGCAGTGGGCCTCACCTCCAGGCATGCTAGCATCCTCCACAGCAGGATGCCCGCTCCTCCCACCGGTCCTCTCAATGCACTGAGGGAAGGAAGGAGAGGCCCAGAGCTTACCCAGAACTTCACAAGGAAGAAAGCATTAGAGGGCCCCCTTTCAAATAGCTCCTTGAGGCCACCCTTCTTCTCTGGGAATTTGTCATAGATCTGGCGGATGTCCACAGCTTCGAGGTAGGGGTCACTGTAGCTTGGGCTCGACTGGCTGATGTGCACGAACAGGTGCTTGCTGTACTGTAGACAGAAGAGCAGTCAGTCTGAGATCGACGCCAAAGGGGAGGCTAGAGAGACAGCCTGTCTCACTTGTGACCTCGGGCAAATCTCTTTACCTCTCTGGGCCTCAGTTCCTCCCTGGGAAAAGGGAGAAAAGCTGGGTCAGGGGCAACCTGCTGTACCCTCAGCTTTGAGTCCCACACCCTCAGATTCCAGGAGTGGAGGGCAGGGGGAAGGGCAGGGAAAGGACACCAGAATAGGAAAAGAAATAGGAGAGAGTGGAGAAGCCTGGGAGAGCTGAGAGGGGAAAAGGAAGCCAAGGAGGGCTGAGGCAGGAATCCTACAGACAGCAAGGGAAAGCACAGAGCAGAGAGAGGGGGCGGGCAGGCAGGGGAGAATAGAGAACAAGGAATCTATTAAGCCCTGAAGGGAGAGGGGGGGAGAAAGGTAAGAAAGCCAGAGGAGGTGGGGGAAGGGAAGGCGAGACCTCTGGGCCTGCAGGGGGGAAGGGGGAGGGAAGGTGAGACCTCTGGGCCTGCAGGGGGGGAGGGAGGGCCTACTATGGAGGCGGGACTTCCGGGGTGGGAACCCACTATGGAGACAGGGCCTCCAGTGGCAGGGCATATGGCATGGGGACAGAAACTTCAGGACTTGAGGTCTACTTTGAGGATGGGGGACTATGGGGCTGGGGACCTACTCTGGGCCCTCAAGACTGGGGCCCTACAGCAGTGGCAGAGCCTCTGAGATTAAGACAGTAGGACATGGAGACCTACTGTGTCGGGATCTTGTTGGCGCTCCAGGAAAGCGGAGAACTCCAACATCCAGAGCTTGGAGCTGGCCACGCTTCGGCCTTGCCATGGGGAAGCTGGTGGCACAGAGGGCGATGGCGTGGGTCCTGCAGGAGCCTCAAAGCCTGTATGAAGGGAGAGGGACACACTGTCCTCCCTGCTGCTATCCTCAGTGAGGACTGCGCAAAACCGGTGAAGAACTTGCCCAGTGCCCGCACAGAGCCTATGAAAGATCCGGCCAGCGGTTCCAGGCTTCTGCTCAGGCCCTTGTACCAGGGGGATGGATCTGAACAGCCCAGGTTGCCTGGAAAACTGCCAGGGCAGGCACTGCAGGACTCTTGCCCCAGGGCCATTGCTAGTGCAGGCAGTTAGACAGCCAGTTGAAACAACTATCACGATGATCCCAAGGCCCTGGAGCAGGAAGTTTTCCTGGAGGACTCACAGTTGCCGCAAACCCACAGAACAGCACCTACACATAGGGTTCTAATGAAGGCAGGCTGGGCCAGCACTGATAGAGGTGAGCCCTTGGTGCTCCTGAGGCTGATCGAGGGAAGGAAGTCATGAAGCTCAAGACACAAGTCCTGAGTGAAGACAGGGAAAGGGTACCAAGCCGGGAAGTATCAAATTCGAATGCGGGGGTGGGGGTGGGGGCTGGGAACCAGCTGAGGGAATCTGGAAAGCCAAATGTCACAGAAGAGCAATGTCTGAACTGGTGGCTGGATACAGGCTCTGGAGTCAGCCCGCAATGCTGCAAACAGGATGGATTGATTCTATTCCTAAATCAAGGAAAGCTGGTGGCTGAATTAAGTGGGGCTGGGAAACTGTCAGTCCTGCATTTTTTTTTCCTGGTAATACTGAGAATGGAACCCTGCCTGGAGCAAGGAATGTGAACTAAAATTCCTGAAAAGAAGCTAAGCCTGGCTGTGAACAGAACCTCCTGGAAAGAGTTTCTGTGTCCGCCGAGACTGGTGGACCGATTGGAATTTCAGTGCTGCGGAGAGACCGGAAATGCATAGGGTCAGAGACTGATTACTTTATCTTGGGTTAGTGTTAGCCTTCTGGGACAGCCATGCCTTGACTCACTCTGTATCTGAACTAACACCTTGTGATAATAAATACAAACCTCTTAGAAGCCATTAACTCAGCAGAACACTAAGAGTGACATCACCCAGCATCTTACATCTATAGGACAGCCCCCCCCCTCGTAGTACCCGCCTCTCTGGTGTGCCCACCAATGTGTTTTAAAGTTGCCTGGACTTATGACTTTCTTTGATCAGTAAAACTATGAAAACCCCATGAAATCATTTCCGTGGTGGAATATGAAATTTTGGATAACCTGTGTTCCTAGGCCGTGGTCACTCATAATGGCTCCCGAATAAAATATCTCTTATTCCCTTTAAGATGAGAAGTATGGTTTTTATACTCTAGAAAAGCTCTCTGCCACTGAGCTTGGCAGTTTTTCATTCCTTCATTGTGGAAGAAGGATAGGACAGAGGGGGACACATTAGGGGCAAGATCTTCAAGAATCAGGTTTTCCTTCTGGTGGCCACTGGTACCCTTGGCAGAAGCAATGAACTCAGGCACAGGGTTAAAAAAAAAGCGGAGACCAAGAACAGTCCAGGAGAGTGGCCAACCATGCTGAACACACCAGCCCATGCTTAGTGCAGCCACCGAATCTTCCTTCCTTCCTGCAGCCCCAGTGCACCTAGGAACTTCTCTGCACACAGCACAGAACACCCACAAGGATATACAGATACCAGCTTCAGAGGCACACGCAGACACAAGCAGGAAGAACACCCCGGATAGACAGAGGTCTGCAGAGCCCTGGGTGGGCAAACAGTGGCCATCTAACCTGGCTGGGACAGGTACGAGGAACCATGGCCCAGGAGGAGCAGTCTAGCCACAGCTCAGAGGCAGAGCAGGGAGCACAGTGGACAGGATCAGGGAACACAGTCACTGAGTCTCAGAAGTCCTGCAGATCTACTGCAGAGCTCAGATCTCGTCAAGAAGGCACCACGGGGCCAGGAAGCATTTAAGCCTGGAAATCGCATGATGGGAGGGATGCTTTGAGAATCTCGGGCAGCCAGTTAAGAAGCCACCCAGGGATGGAGGCAAAAACTAGGAGGATCTGAGTACAGATCGCATCAGCATGGACAGAGGGAAGAGAACAGAAAAGATGACGGACGTGAGGACTGGGCCCCGCTCAGTGATGCTCCCTTTGTGGGTAAAAGAAGAGGTGATCAGACACTAGGTGTAGCAGGAAAGCCTGAGAGGCCGCAACCGGAATGTCACAGCTGGTCACTCTCCCAGGAAGGTTGAAAGCCTAGCCTGGACTGCAGCGTGGAAGGGGCAGAGGGAGCCTCTGGAGAGAAGGTCAGAGCTGGTCCACTGAGGCCCGAGGGAGGGCCCAAACCAGTACGTCGCTTCTGTCACATTGCCCAACAGCACTTTCCAGGCATCAGGAAGGGTGCCAGGGAGGGGTTAGTTAGGCTTGCAAACCAGTTCCCCCCAGCTCCCAGTTGAGAGGCAATGGGCAGCACTCCAAGGGGTTAGCCTGTAGAGCCAGCACATGTCCCCTACAACAGTGGGCTGGGGACACAGGCACTTCTGATTCCGTGTCCCAGCCAGAGCTCAGCACAACTGGCAAGGAGTACAGCATTTGGTGCCACCCTAGAATGCCATGTACCTATGACGACGGGTGCTGCACGCAGCAAGAAGCGTGCTATAGAGAAGACAACTGGGATGTACGGTCCTGACACATGACATCTAACGGGATTGATGCAGACATCTAACGGGACCCCAGGTGCTGGGAGCCTGGGACCAAAGGCAGGGGCCATGGAGTTTGACACACAGGGGATCATGCATCATTACCTACCTGGCAGAGGCAGCGGAGGCTGGGCAGTGTAGTTGTTTTGAGAGAAAGGTTTCACACTGTAGGAAAAAGGAGAGAGGAGGCATCAGCCACTGCGAAGAACTGCAGGGTAGCCCTGGTGGCTTGGCCACTGGTGGCCTGAGCAGGCATTGGTTTCCAGCACCCTACCCTGCCAATTCCCTCAGGGTTTGTGTTTGAGTCATGGAAGCAATATGTCTATTGGGGCGATCCACCTCCCATCCTCTCCCAGGCCAAGCAGATGTCTCCTTGGGTACCAAGCCTTAGAGCCCCTCCTACATCTGTCCCAATGAGCACTTCAGTAAACAGCACTCCAAATGTGGACAACGCAGGCTAAGCAAGTGACATCTGAGAGCAAAGCCTCATTCCTAAGGTCAAGGCCATCCTAGAAAGGCCGATCTCACACTACAGCCTGTCTCTCCCGTTCCACCTCCCGAAGCCAGGCTCCATTTCCTAAAACTCTGGGTTCGAATACAGCTCAGGGAGTTAGGGGTAGGAAATCAAACTGTACTCACTCATGGGATGTTCCAGGTTGGCCTGGCAAAGCTCCTTGCCAAAACTGTGGAGGTAAAAGGTACAGACTCAGCTTAGCTATGCTGTGCACAGGGCCAGAGCCCAGGAGGATTGTGGGAAGAGCCTGTAAGGGAGGGACCATGCAGGCCTCTGGCTGTGAAAGGAGGGAGGAGGTAGCTCCAACAGTGAGAGGGAGGGAAGCGGTGCCTGTTTAGCGGGCTGACGCTAACAGGCAGCAGCAAGACCAAGGTGTGTTTCTCTGTGGCCACCGGGAAAGCCAGGCTTGCTTGACCCGCACTTTCTCCCTCCCACCGAGACTCGCAGGGCTCTTCAGCATGTAAGGTCCTAAAGTCAAGAAATCTACGCAGGGGCTCAGTGGTAGAGCATGTGCTTAGCTTGCATAAGGTACATGGTTCCCACCTCAAACACAAAAAATGATACAATCCAAGTGTCTACACAATCCTTTTATGACCTATCTATCTAACATCCCACCTAGCAGTCTCTGGTGGAAAGACCTGTGGAATTTAACACATGTCCCTCCCCACGTATGAGGCCAGTGCAAGCGGGGCATCTTAAAGAGGCTATATATGACAAGCTTGGGAAGGGGACCATTCCTGGAGCATTGTAAAAGTGTGGCAATGTGGACATGGCTTAAGAGACTGGGCGTCAGGCTGACAAAATCAAAATCTGAGCACAGGTTTGTCACTAGACATCAGCTGTCCACACGGAAGGCAGGCTTTGTCGGGATCTGAGCGGGAGGAGTTGGGTCAAAGGTGAAAGACTGGTGGCTATTTGAGGACTCAGTAATGCTAGTCAAAGCTCAGGATTCAGCTCCAGTCCCGCCAGAGCGCTCTCTCTCTCTCTCTCTCTCTCTCTCTCTCTCTCTCTCTCTCTCTCTCTCTCTCTCTCTCTCTCTCTCTCTCTCTCTCTCTCTCTCTCTCTCTCTCTCTCTCTCTCTCTTTCAACAGGGTTTCTCTATGGCTTTGGAGGCTGTCCAGGAACTAGCTCTTGAAGACCAGGCTGGTCTTGAATTCACAGCGATCCGCCAGCCTCTGCCTCCCGAGTGCTGGGATTAGAGGTGTGCTCCACCAGCATCTCTTTTTAAGGGCCTGCTGTGTTGTTAAGGACCTCAAACAGTGATTACAGCACCAGCAAACTCATGATTTAGAATGGGCTCTGGGTGGGCTCTGAAGAGATGGATCGAGACCGGCCACTGTGCCCAGCTCTGTTGAAGAGACGGTATGAGGAAAGCTGTGTCGGCCTCTTGCTCTGGGCTGCCCCACTTACCCCTGAGATTGCTGGGTAGCCAGGGCCCCGGGCAAGAGCCATTTTACTGTGGAAGGCTGTGGCGGAGACGATCTGGGCGGACGACATGGCAGCCATGCTCTGCAGGGCCTTGTTCTTAGCTGCCTGGTCCTAGGGAGACATGGGAAGGGAGGACCTTAGCAGGGCCACCAGCCAGGCTCAGCGGAGGCATGACCTGGCCTTAGGGTCAGAAAAGCTGTCCAGTGCCAGTAGCCAGAGCTGGGGACCAGATTTAAGTTTGTGACGTACTAATGTGCTGGTGACTGAGCAGGGGGCTTGGCTTCCTCTTCTGTTGTGGAAGCATTAAACTGACTGGAGAATACTATGCCAGACTGCCTGCCTGACCGACCAACAGCCTCCCTCCCTCCCTCTCCTCTGTGTCTCTTTCTAGTGCTGGGGATGGAACCCCAAGCTTCAAGCATGCTAAGCATGAGCTCTACCATTGAACCCACAGCCCCGCTACAATCCTTATAAAAGGAGGAGACTGGTGAACCGACACTTCACAGCGAATGATGAGGCAGTAGAACCAAGTCTTCCTTGAGTAAGATCAGAGTTAAGACTGGCAGATCACCTTGCGGGACAATCTCCCTCAGTCCACACAGCAACTCTGAGGCAGGGTGCAATGTAGTCCCTAGGCTCAAGAGGTGGCTACCCAGAAGTCACTCAGGAGCAGTCTGGAGAAATGCTAATGCACTTTGACCCTCTTAGAAGGTGAAGAAATGGGCTCAGAGAATTTAGCCTTAAGAGAGGGGTCCATGCTGTGGCTCAGACCTGCTCCCCTAAGTTAGTAGGTGGCTGGCTATTTGGAGATAAGACCTTTGGAAGGTGATTAAGCAACATCTTGAGGGTGAGCCCACATGATGGCGTCAGTGGTCTACAAGAAGAGGAGGAATGACTTGTGCAAGCTTGCTCTCCATGTGGTGGTACCCTTCTCCATGTTTTAATGCAGGAAGAGGACAGATACTGGATAGACACTATAGCCATGTTCTCAGATTGTGGACCACAGAAGCATCTGAATACACTCTATTCTTGATCAGAATGGGGGCTACAAGGACATAATTCTATGTTAGGATTCACTGGATCAGACAGCTAAGACCTGTGCCTTTTGCTACATGCATACACTATGGATGGTGGTTTAATGGTCCTCAGTTGGTGGTGATGTTTGGGGAGCTTATGAAAGCTTTGGGAGGTAGAGCTTTGCTGGAGGATGAATGTCACTGGGGACAGGTTTGGGGGGAGAGGGATTATCTCCTAATCCAACTTCCTGTTCTCTCTCCATCTCTGTGTCTCCGTCTCTGCGCCATATCTGAAGGTGGGATCTCTAACCGCCCCCTTCCTGCTCTCATGCTTGCTGCCATGCCTTCCATGACGGGCATTTATCCCTCTGGAACAAACTGAAATAAACTCCTTCTTCCATTAAATAATAGTAATAATAATTACCCAGTCTGAAGAATTTTTCTGTCATCACAGAAAAAATGCCTAAGTCATTCCAGGCTGGTACAGAGAGGGCTGTGCCAGCCAAAGGGGCAGCGGAAGTGTATTAGAATGTAGCAGCAGCCAGCACTCATTATGGAGGACAAGGAAGCCCTACTATGTTCCGGGCTTATTCCCCACTCAGAGCAGAGCATGGGTGAGATTTGTCACTGACACCCTCGCCCACTGTCCTTCTATGGCTAAACTTGGGCCTTGTTCTCTGACAACTGAAGTCATGTACTTCCGGGGGGAAACGGCATTCTAGGCCAGCCCTCCCAGGCAAGCCTCTTCTCGAGGTGACTTGGCAAGCCATATCCTCGAGGCTGCCGAGATTAACAATTGCACCCCAAATCCACAGAGCTCCATCCGCTCCACGCCAGCAGCATGTGTCCCTTCCTGTATCCGTAATCTAAACAAATGACAGGGCTCAGGAAACCACATCCTCAATGTGTGAGGCAGGAGGAAGTGGAAAGGACATCGTAGGGATGACATCAATGGCCAGACGGCAGGGTCAGGAGTTGTGTATTTTCCAGTTGAAGGGGACCTTACCTATCAATCACCTTGCAGCATCACCCTTCACTTTGTAGATGACAACACCAAGTGGGACTTGTACAGGGTGCAGGACATGACCATGAGACAGACATGGGGCACAAGCCCAAGGATTTCTGCCCATCCTACCCACTCTACTGTCTGCCCCAGAGCTTAATCACTGCGGTCCCAGAGCCGCAAAAGTAGGGCAAAATCCTCAGGGCAGTCTCTGGGAAGATGCGGATACTTGACAATTTGGGTGTTTTAAGAGGTTTGTGGTCCCCTTGATGCCTGACTAGAAGCCCACTGACTGTTGTCCTCAAATCTCAAGTTACAGACATGTGATTCCATGAAGAAGTATGGAGGTAGAGATGTCCCAAGGAATTGAACGGTTCCCTGGACACTCTCAACATGACACAGCCATTCTGTTCTCTGCTGTCACCTGGGATCTCAGTGAGTAAGAGGCAGATCAGAAAGGGGACTTGGAAAACAAGCAGGTCTTTAGGGTTGGGGGTGTTCCAGGGAGGGATCCACAGCTGCAGGCAGGTCCTGGAGACAAAGGATGGAGGTGCTGAGCCGCAGCTAGGGGGTGCGGAGGACAGCTGAGGTGAGGACAGGAAGAATGGGAATGTGAGGACAGTGGGTGTGGCGTCTCAGGAGGCAGAGAGGCCAGCATCAGCTAAGAGGTGATGAACGAGCTGGGCAGTGGTGGCGCACACCTTTAATTAATCCCAGCACTCAGGAGTCAGAGGCAGACTGATCTACGTGAGTTCAAGGCCAGCCTGGTCTACAGAGTGAATTCCAGGACAGTCAAGGCTACACAGAGAAACCCTGTCTTGAAAATCCCTGTCTCGGGGGTTGGAGACAAGATGGCTCAGAGGTTAAGAACACTGCATCTTCTTACAGAGGTCCCGAGTTCAATTCCCAGCAATCACATGGTGGCTCACAACCATCTATAATGAGATCTGATGTCACCGGGCGGTGGTGGCGCACGCCTTTAATCCCAGCACTCGGGAGGCAGAGGCAGGCGGATCTCTGTGAGTTCGAGGCTGGGCTGGACCGATAGCCTCCAAAACAATACAGAGAAACCCTGTATCATAAAAACCAAAAAAAAAAAAAAAAAGAGAGATCTGATGTCTTCTCCTGGTATAAAAGCATGTATACAGATTAAAAAACTATATGCAGGCTGGAGAGATGGCTCAGAGGTTAAGAGCACTGACTGCTCTTCCAGAGGTCCTGAGTTCAATTCCCAGCAACCACATGGTGGCTCACAACCATCTACAATTTAATCTGGTGCTCTCTTCTGGCATGTAGGCAGAACACTGTATATGTGATAAATAAATCTTGAAAAAAAAAGAAAACCCAGGGCAAACATTAAAAAAAAAACTATATGCATAATAAATAAATATTAAAAAGAAAGAAAAACCCTGTCTCAAAACCACCACCAGACAGACACACAAAAAAAGAGGTGATAGAGAAAACAGTGTGTGGTCATCCAGTCCAGTCCAGCAGCTTTTAAACTGGGCTCCGCGGCAGTACAGGATTCTTCCTTAGGCATGAGAGGCTGCTCAGTAGTCCCCACTTCTGTGAAGCCCCACTGTACCCCCAAAGTCCCAGTGTTTTCTCTCTGCTGACACTGTTTTCCTTACCTTGAGTTTGGCCTGGATCTCCCGGGCTTTTCGACGGGCTAGCACTTGGATGTGGCTGGAGACCTGTTGCAGAAAGAGAGTTCCTGTGCCTACCTCCCAGACGGCTCATGCTTTCCCAACCCTCAGTCCTGTGGGGAGTTCACTCCTGCTTGCCCAGTTCACCTTGAGCAGGGCAGCACTACGAAAGGGCAACCTCGATGATGTGCTTTTCCCCCCAGTGCTCTGGAGAGGGAGTTTGACTCTAGTAAAGGGAAGGACCTGGAACCCAGGGACCGCTCCTACCCCCTGGGGAGCAAGCATGGTAGGTGGGGTGACCTTTCTGGCCTCACCTGCTTCCTGGTACGGGTCTTCCCTGTGCGGAGCTTGATGTAGCGTGCAATCAGCTCATTCCGACCTGCAGAAACACCCATGACCTCTCTCTCAGTGAGACGCACTTGAGGGTGAGCTCATTCTGTCCACCATGGTGGAACTTGGAATAAGAGTTCTGTAGTTCCGTTCCCTTCTTGTGCTCTTCGGAGCACAGGGATATATATCCCAGTAGTAAGAGGAGACTACACCCTTACTGGACAGACTGGTGACTTTACAGTTTAAGTAGTAGAATTGGGACACATGGGCCACTGTCACTCAGCCCGAGCTCCTCATCCCTCGGTGGCTAGTTAAACCTTGGCTCCTCCTGGGCTTTCTGTTTCGGGAGTACCTGGCTCTTGCCTACGAGACCACCATGGTTTCCACTGCCTCTGAGAATGAAGAGGATCTTAAAGATGGTTGGTTGGGAATGGGAGGTGAGAGTGTAATGGTTGCCAGGGAGGAGGCCTACCTCTTCATACGGGAAAGAACTCCCAGGAGACGTAGCTCAGTGTTGAGGATCTGCATAGCAGGCAGAAGACCTTTATTCCCAATCCTGCCTCACCAAAACCAAAAACAAAACCCAGGCAACTTTTTTAGTCCAAGGTTCTGCCTCAGACCTGGTGGTGGACTTCATCTAACATTTAAAAAGCAGCCACCTGAAGGCTACACTGTGTCCCCAGGACTCTCATAGGCTGTAAGAGCCAGCCACATCCTCTATTACCATAAACGAGATCAAAAAAGATTTATTGGGCTATTGTTATTATTACTCTTATTTACTAGTACTGAGGCAAGGTCTAATGCAGCCTAAGCTGACTTTGAACTCATTATGTAGCTGAGAATGGCTCTGAACTCCTGATCCTCTTGCTACCATCCCTAAGTGCTGGAGTAACACGCATGTGTCACCATGCCTATTATACAGAGCTGGAACCAAGCCTAGAGCATTGTGTATGCTGGGCGAGCACTCTTCCACCTACGCTACATCCTCAGCCTGGTTTTATAGTTGTTATTTTGCTTTTTGTGTGCATTTGTTTGCTTTTTTTTTTTTTTTTAAGAAAAAGTCTTGCTATCTAGGCCTGGATGGCCAGGAAACATGCCCATCCTTGAGTCTCCTACCTCTGTCCACTAAACAGAACCCAGTACCTAGGTTAGGGAACACATAGCCACACAATGGAGCAACGTATGCTGGAAATAGATGTGTTTGAGGATGATGGGTGAGTTCAGGCTTGGGGAGCTGCCGGGTCTCAGTAGGACCTTGGCCACTGGGTAGGATAAAAGGAAAGAACAAAGACTATCAGATGACTGGGTGGTGGCACACACCTTTAATCCCAGCACTTGAGAGGTAGGGGCAAATGAATCTCTGAGTTTGAGGACAGCCTGGTCTACAGAGTGAGTTCCAGGACATCCAGAGCTACACAGAGAAACATTGTCTCAAAAGAAGGAGGGAGGGCCGGGCGTTGGTGGCACACACCTTTAATCCCAGCACTCAAGAGGCAGAGGCTGGCTGTGAGTTTGAGGCCAGCCTGGTCTACAGAGTGAGTTCTAGGACAGCCTCCAAAACAATACAGAGAAACCCTGTCTCGGAAAAAAAAAAAAAAAGGGAGGGAGGGAGGCATCAGATGAGGGAGAGGGAAGGATGAAGTAAAAGAAGCTGTCACCTCTGCTCTGCATCTAGGCCAGAGGGCACAGCCGAGGCCTGCCCTGTCAGCTGAGGGTGGAGTGGCCACGTGAGGAAGCTGCTGCTGCAGGGGCAGGTGAGGCGAACCGGCTGCCTGCCACCTGGGTAGTAACTAGAGAGCCTGACCAAAGCCAGGCTGGCCCCCAAGCTGACCTTTCCCCACGGCCAAGTTCAAATTAAGAGCCCTCATCTGCCAGGAAGACGTGCTGGCCTGGGAGCTTTGGCTTGTCTGTGTCCAAGGAAGGAAGGCGTGGAGAACCAGGTCCCGGGCGCTCTGTGGGCCAGTCTGCACCTAAAACCGTGAGTCCACGCCTTCCTGGAGTGTTCCATCGGGGCTTCTGGCACCCTGATGGATGTCCAGCAGCTCTACAGTGTGTCTATCCAAAGGCGATTGTGTTGCAGCTACGACACATGAGGCCCAAGTCATCCGCAGTTGCTTACCGTTTAGGACCACAAAACGGGTTTAGGGAGCCAGGCTTGAACTAGCAGCTCCGCAAAGGGGCTTTGGGACCACAGCAAGTGGCTTCCCTCCATGGCCCTCCCCCAGCCTTCTTCTAATCTAGCTCAATCTAGTTTAAAGTCTTTCTTCTGTATTTAACCACACACATTTTTACTGCCTTAGGATGCTGGGCTTAACTAATACTAGCTGAATGAGGACTCTGGCCAGGCATGGCGGCCATACCTATCATCCTAGCACTTAGGAGCCCAATGTGGGAAGATTGCCTCAAGTTTGGGTACAACCTGGGCTACAGAGAAAACCCAATCCTTCATTTATTTTTTTTTTTTTTACAGCAAGATGAGGGGCAGGAGGACAACTGTGTTGTAGCTCAGTCTCTGCTTCAGGAAGGAGAATATATTCTTAGCCTAAAGAAGTGATCAGAGTTTAAGGCAAAGGCCAAGGTTAAGTTAGGGGTGACAGAGAAGAGGTTTCTGAGAGCCACAGGGCCAATCTAAGCCTGGAGATATTGTGGCACGTCTCAGCGTTGGTGGTGGCATAGCTGGAGCGACAGGGAAGGTGGGTGTCTTAGCCAGGGAAAACTGTGCTACAATGAACACCATGACCACAGCAACGTGGAGAGGAAAGGATTTATATGGATTATACTTCCATATCACAGCTTATGTCATCAAAGGAAGTCAGGACAGAAACTCAAACAGGGCAGGATCCCGGAGGCAGGAGCTGATGCAGAGGCCATGGAGGGGTGCTGCTTCCTGACCTGCTCCTCATGGCTTGCTCAGCCTGCTTTCTTATAGAACCTGGGGCCACCAGCCCAGGGATGGCACCACCCACAGTGGGCTGGGCCTCACATCAATCACTGATGATGAAAATGTCTCCTGATTTGCCCACAGGCCATCTTAAGGAGACATTTTCTCAGCTGAGATTCCCTCCTCACTGATGACTAACTAGCTCATGTCAAGTTGACATAAAACTAGCCAATACAGCAGGGGATGTGAGGAACCTCAGGGACCATCTGGGAAATAGTTCTTGGGCTGCTCCTCTGTCTCATGCCTTGGCAGCTCATCAGTCATCTGTGCCCGTTAGATTCTCGGTACCCCCAGAAGAAAATACACGCTGGCTGTTCTCACTCCAGTCTGCACCTCCAAAGCTGGGAATGGGGGCACAGCCTGCATCCCAGCACTTATGAAGCTTACACAGGAGGATCAGAAACTACAGGTCAGCCCTGGCTACGTAATGAGACCATGCTTATAAAGCAAGCACGCCAACGTCTCCAGTGTTTGGCACTCGATGAATGAAATCAAGGCATGGGTGAAGGAATGACTGAGTTTATCACAGTTCCACTTTCAAAATATTCCCAGAATTAGGCCTCGTCTCCCCACCTCAGTTCTGTGGTCCTGGCTACCCGGCTCTGGCCTGGATTACTGATCACCTCCATCTGGCTTCCTGCTTCAGGCTATTCTTGGCCTAGCAGATGACATGTCTCCTAAAATCCAAAAAGTGCTGCCCTGGCTTCCCATCTTCCTCAGATGAAAGGAGTCTAAGTTCTGCCAGGTGTGGTGGCAGGGTTGGAGTCTTGGCTACGTGGGGAGCTGAGAGGCAGGAGGATTGTTTCTGCCAAGGCTGGATACCAGCGTGAGCAACATCAGAGACAGAGTTTCTTGAGAGGGAAAATAGGGATGGAAAGAGCTGGAGACAGTGGCAGAGCTCTTCCCTAGGGTACACAGGAACCTGCAAAACACAGACAGACAGACAGACAGACAGACAGACAGACAGAGACACACACACACACACACACACACACACATATACACATACACATACACACACACACACAGTCCAAGTGCCTCCCAAGGCCTGGAGGTTCCCTAAGGATCTATCTACCGCCATATCAGCTCAGTCACTTTTCTGATGTCACCTATCTGCCACTCTGAGCTGCTTCCTGGAACTCGCTGGGTCCAATTGCCCACTAGGCTCACTGCAGTGGAATGGTCTCGTGGCCTGGGTGGAGATGGACACCAAGGTCTGACATCTTCCCTGACCCTGACATGAGAGCAAGGACGACCCTCCCCTCCAGCACATTCTAGCCTACGCTTCCTGCCATCTTCATCTTCCTCCATGCACCGTGTAATCTACTGATATTCTGGGTACTGTCTTCTCGCACAAAAGTGCACCCTGAGAATGCACTCAGGTGTTTGCTGTTTGTCTCTACCAGATACCTAGAGAACGCTCTGGAAGGTTGGGGAGATGACTCAGAGGCTAAAACACTTATGTGAGACGATTGGAGTTCAGATGCCTAGAACCCATGTCACCTCCAGAAAGCTTGGTAGCCTGGAAGGTGGGCACAGGATACCCCTGAAGCAAGCTGGATAGCTCAATTAGCCCATATCAGCAAACTCTGAATCCAGTTGTGAAACTGAACAAGACGGAGAGATCAATGAAGATTCCCCATATCAACACACAGGGAAACAGACATACATGCATGCATACCACACCTACATTTTTAAAAGCTGCCTGTATATTTATTGTAAATATCTCTTAATCAAACAATAAAGAACTGAATGGTAGTTGGGTGTTGGTGGTACACAACTTTAATCCCAGCACTCAGGAAGCAGAGGCAAGCAGATCTCCGAGTTCAAGGCCAGACTGGTCTGCAAAGTGAGTTCCAGGACAGCCAGGACTACACAGAGAAACCTTGTCTTGAAAAAAAAAACCAAAAGCAAAAGAATAAACAAGAGAACTTGAATGGTAAGGAGATCAAATATCCAAGAAACTGGTTCAGCCTTCAGAGACAAACAGGGGAACCAAATGAAGTCAAGCAATGCCTTCAGATTATTCCTAATTCCCCAGGCACTTTTTATCTTACTCTCAATTGAGTTTTTCTGTGTGTAAGCAAAGGGAATTCTATGGAACCAAA